TTTTAAAGGAACTTGATTATTGACGTGATCATGGATCAGATCTGATCAATTCACGCACGTATTACATAGTAAAGTGGGAACCAGCGATTCTACTACATAAAAAGTTTTATAAAACCACTAGTTTTAAAGGAAATTGATTATTGACGTGATCATGGATCAGATCTGATCAGTTCACGCACGTATTAAATAGTAAAGTAAGAACCAGCGTTTCTACTACATAAACAGTTTTATAAAACCACTAGTTTTAAATGAACTTGATTGTTGACGTGATTATTTAACGATTAACATTAGGGCAAGAAGTCTCTCATTAGCTGATCTTGTAAACAGGTATGAATGCAATTTAAAAATAAAAATATGGGTTTATGAAAAGTCACTTGTAGTAGTTGTTGTTGGATATTAAGCACAAATCTACACAAAGGGCTATCTGTGCTCTACCCACCACGGGTATCGAAACCCGGTTTCTAGCGGTATAAGACCGCAGACATACCGATGTGCCACTGGTGGGGGGAGGAACAAGTCACTTGTAGTTGTTGTTTATTATTAAACACAAAGCTACATAAAGGGATATCTGTGCTCTACCCACCACGGGTATCGAAACCCGGTTTCTAGCGGTATAAGACCGCAGACATACCGATGTGCCACTGGTGGGGGGAGGAACAAGTCACTTGTAGTTGTTGTTTATTATTAAACACAAATCTACACAAAGGGCTATCTTCGCAAGAAGATGTCGAGGCAGGTTTACTTCACTCAAAATTACTTGTAATTACTGTAATCAGTCCTGTATCATAATTTCACACACTTTCGGCCTGATCCACCGTTAAAAGTGTTGGAACTATTGATTGTTTTGACAAAAATTATAAAACAAATCAAATCAGTTTCACCACATTCAGTCAAAGGCTGTGATAATTATAAGACAACTGAAAAATAAACGATATATTCCACGCTTTACGAGCTTTATTTCAATTTTTAATTACTAGGTTAATTCTAAAGGTAAAGTTTTAAGAAGCTCGGGTGCCAAATATATCACTAGACAGCTAGCAGCTGGTATCAAACAGCAATGAAAAAATTGTTCAAACAGCCAGGAAAGTAGTGTGAATAAAACTGTTATATCGTTTTAAAATTTTCTTCGCTTTTCTTGAGCTAATAACACCATTTTGTACATGAACTAAAACAACAACAACAACAACAACAAAAAGTAGAATCTTCTCGAACTTTCTTGTTTCAGATTTGTTGAAGATGTTCCACGGACTGACAGTAATTCAATAAATATAACATTTTACCCTCACTGATAAATGGATTCTCTTAATAAATCTCGTGCTTGATCTCAGCGCACATCTAGGTAAGCCAGGCTTTTCTCAGTATTTTTTATTTATACATTAAAAAATCATAGGAGACATTAAAACCTGGTTTCTCATGCAAGCACACTAATTTCTGGAGAAAATAACCCGGAAAGTACCCCACCAGTCAGAGATATCTAAACGTAACAACGATAATGTGTACGTGTTAGAATAAAATATAATTTACATTTGTCGTGAGGCACATGTATTACTGAGTCAAGCATGTTTACCGACGCCGTTAGAAAGAAGGCGAAAACAACGAACGCTTCACAAAATTTGCATGTTTTATTTGATAGAAATCAGCGCATCTACCTTAGTAACGTATCATCTTTGTATAACTTTGTACACATATTTCCCCAAACATCGTAACATATGGTTTAACTTTCTGTTGATCTAGTCCTTGAGATGTTTATTGATTTCAGAACCTTCACGGTATCCAGAAGATGTAGCCGGATGATTGAATCTTAAACGAAGGAGAGCCTTACAGGGGATTGATTGTGTTTAGGAAATAACTTAAGCTACCCACGTAGCTTACAGAATCCCATGGAGCTATCTAGCATAACGATGATTTGAACAGGAATTGATGAAAAATAAATTACAAACGCTAGGCTGTGTTAACAGTTTGGGCCAAAGTAGCTCTAAATTAGTTAGTATTGAAACATTTAAGATGTATCTAGATTAAATGATGCAGTATATCTTACATGTTTTTAATAATTATATTAAAAATGTTTATAGATCGTCAAAAATTCACAAGTAGAAATCAGTCGAAATAGAAGACAAAATGACACGTATTCGAGGGAATTAAATCGTTATTTAAAGGAATTCAGAACAAGACAATCTTACCATAACGTAGAGGAAGTTGGCGGGCTCTATCTCTTCTTGGTTTACATGCAGCAAGACAGGGGAAACAGAAGTCTGCACCATCTCGCTTCTACCACAAGACTGCTGCTGTTGGATACAGTCGAGGTGCTGCCTCTCCTGGGTATTCTGTACTCTCGTCACCAGGCGTCGTTTTAAGCGTCGAACAGGCTGATGGCTACTGGGTCGAAGACACTGGTCGCTGGAAATGAAAGGAGGAACTACTAAATAACGTGACAGCGAAGTCTTCAAATGGCGAGTTATTGGATAAAAGTACTGATAATGTTACACAATAAATACATTTTTATGTGAGATGAAAGATACGCTTGTAGTCACTTCGAAAGTACCAGTTTATAATTATTAGAATTGATTCAGCTTGATTTACAGAAGGAAAAAAAACTAAAATGGAGGAAAATCCAAGTGTAATTAAATACTCAGTTTTTATCAGGTGCTTATTACCTACATTACTGCTAGCACCAACAAATTCATACGAAAGTAATATTTATTTTCTACCACGTTCATTTAACTATGTACATACACACGTGTATGCGTGTGTCTTTTTTTTTGGCAACAAAAAAGAGTATAAGTGAGATTTACCAAGTTCATATCTATAAAAAGATAGTCCAAGGAGTTGCGTGTATTTATTCACATAGATAATTAACATAAACACACAGAAACAAACAAACGTTAAATATGTCTTTCTTGGATGTCAAAAGAAGGCGCGATATTAAGTTGGGTATCAAACCAAAAATGGGACATTAGATCAGAGATCAAAAGAAGACGTGATATTACGTTGGATATCAAACCAAAAATGTGAGATATCCAATGTAATGTCACATTTTTGGCTTGATATCCAATGTAATGTCACATTTTGGCTTCATATCCAATGTAATGTGACATTTTGGGGTTGATATCCAATGTAATGTCACATTTTTGGCTTGATATCCAATGTAATAAAACCATATATTTGACATTACATTAGACGTCAAAATAGGTGTAACATTACAGTGGATGGAAAAATGATAACTTGACTTCAAATTGTTGGTTAAAAAACAGCATAAGTCTGACACTATGAAATTTCGAACAAAATGGCAGTTTGTTATGTGTTAGTACAAATTCAATAGCAACTCTTAATTTCACTGCCTGAATTAATCAGAAATGTCCTCATACTCATCTAGATATGTAAAATAAAACTTATATATTAAATCAACTAAGTAGCTTCAATGGAAAATTTCTGCTGTGTTTGTATCCATCAATTGACATGTTAAGCCTGAAAATATTGTTGGTTAGGTATTGACTGAGAGGTGTCATTTATATGATTTATCTTCTGGCTGATACTGACTAGGATATTAGAAATAGAGATAAAAAAAAAAGATCAAAGATGAAAGAGTTATAGTTAGGGATGAAAGACTGGTGTTTATGAATTTAATATTAAAGTGAATTTAAAGTTGTACTAGTGACATTGACAATATAATACTGCTAACAATTTTTCTGATAGTAAAGTTTACCATTTCATGATTGTAACTGTGTGACAATAATTTTCAATCTAACGTTGTGCGGATTAGAGTTTTATTTAAAACATGCTGATCGTTTTATTCGTAAATACCACAATCTATCTAAGACGTGTATTATAAAAAATACTTCCATTACTTTGCAACACACCATATAATAGATATGTATAGAGAGAACAGCTGTTTAAGAGTTACGTATAAAAGCACAAAGATCAAATCACCCGTGAAAGACTAACTCGCACATCGTTATTGGTTTCTCATCTCTTTCACTCTCTGCGATCTTCCCGGCTTTCTACTAGCTCTCTGTCATCTTGGGATACGTAAAACTTTGATCCCATCAATATTTATTGAGCCAACAACTTTCTAGGCTGAAGCTCTAAACATGTATTATATTCCTGCAAAGCAACCTGAAAACTAGACCCAGCAAAACTTATCTGATCCAACCACCTCGCTTTACGTTCTTTTGGTCGTAACTTCGATCCTTAACGACAATGTTGCATGGGGTTGCTCGTTTTTCTGCCATTAGGTTGGCTAGCCCCATCAGTATAGTGTCTGACGCCCATAGTTGCTAGCTACGCAACTGCTATCATGAGACTTCCTACATGAAGGGTGGTTTTGAGGCAATTGGGATAGGCGTGTAAAATTTTATTAAATTACTCCTTATTGGGCGGTACTCCAACTTAGTTGTCGAGTAAAAGAGGCATTTTTATTATCAATGAAGGTGTAAATTATCTTCAAGGGGTGAAAAAACTTCATCTAGTCTTCAATGTTTTAATGGTATGGATATGAATTCTAAGAACCATGCATACGTGCATGTAAAAATCCTTATAAAACCAGGCCAATGCATGTAATTATTATTAATTCTACTATAAAACAGTTTTAAGTAATAGTGCTTCATCTTAATATTACTTTTATGGATTTTTGAGCCATTTATATAATAATTAACTAAATTGACAAATCCGTATAGTTTTTTAAAGGAAATGAGTCTTCATGTTACAGTGACATCTAGCTTAACGTAATCAATTTAATATTTCTACTTTCTATGACTTTAAAATCTACAAGTCTGTAATAACAAAATAAAGGTGAACTGAAATGCTTATCAAAGAACCATTACTTGTTTGTTTTTATGTCATTCGATATCATTCAAAGAACTTTATAATTTTTCTCCAAAATGAAACCCAAGAAATAACAACTGCAAGGCATTCAGTAATACGACTCCAAAGTGTCTTCCAGCGAATGGAAAAATTGACATAGAATAAAATAATAATATGGTATAGGTTTTTAATGGGTTATTTAGTTTATTCAAATTTCAGAGCTGTTGCCTTGTTGAGTGGTAATCAACGTGCACGACGTTTCTATGCATAAGGTATACGACAGGAAAAGAAATCAAACAATTTTGAAATGTATTTATTTCCTTTATTTGTCAATTCTATAATAATTCAGATTGTAGCTTTAGATGATATGTATATGCATTTTCAGCCAACATCGTCTCTCCCCATAGTTCTGGAGCTAGCAGGATCAAACTTTCAGGGTGGCTCGGGGGGTGTATATATATATGGCGTATGCTATAGGAGGATAAAAAAGCCCTCGGAAGATTGGTTACCCAGGCATGATGGAGGAGGGATCTAACAGTGGGTTTTTCAGGGTCTCTGAATGCGATCGGACATCGTATTTTACGTTCTTGGTCTCCTTTGGAATAAAGAGTGCCAAGCTTGAAACTGTACTCATACACACGAGCCAGCGAGATCAAACTTAGCAGACGTACTCAGGCACCATAAGCGGGTGTCCTAACGTTTTTTTTCGGATACAGATTCAATATGGATAGTTAGATAAGATATTCGGAGTAATGGAGGAGCTTGATCGGTATACTTGGCCTCTATGAATCGAACCCTGCAGTGGGACGCGAGTATTTTATGCTTGTCTTAATAAACGCTGTGGTTGAAGATTCTGTAATTACTAGGTCTTTCGAAGAGCTCAACTCAGATTTTTAGTGTGTAAGACGTGTTGTTTTATTTATTTGATTGCCATATAAACTCAAACAAAATTATACCATTACATATCGCGTGAAGAATGTTTGTAATTTCATCGGGTTTAAAAAACAAAATCGTATTTTCTAATAATTTTACGTTATTGACACAATCATAATAATAATAACTTGTCACTACGTAACGAAAAATATGCGAGTTGGTTTCTATAAGTTTGAAAAGTATTTATTTCCTGTATTTTTCAATCCTATGTTAATTCAGATTGTAGTTTTGTATGATATGTGTATGTACAGTAGTTAAATTAATGGTAAAGTTATAACTTTAATATTTTGCATTGTCCCAAGATCAACTATATTCGTTGGAAAAACTTCAAAGCTAGTTTATATAAGGTTCTGTTCGACAGGAATAACTTATTTTCTAATCTCAAGAGTTGTCCTCTTTACCTCCTAACTCGATGAATACAAGGTTAACACTACTCCTGATGTAGATTGTAAATTACGTGTTCTTGAATAGTTTGTACTTGAGGGTTTGTTCACAAGTTGGATGTTACGTGAGCTTCATGAAAAGGGTGACAGAAATATAATATATTACGATTTTTAATTTTCTTCGTTATCGTAATACTGTCAAATATATTCATCAAAAGCACACATTTTGATGCCCACTAATAAAATGTCAGATTTATCTAATAATAGTGAAGTGTCAATTATTACGGTACTGTACATAACACGCTTTGATTAAACTTGGAAGTTAGAGGGGTTTCTTTGTTACGGGCAATGACTCGCATGCTAATCATGACATTTCACAAATTCACTTTTTTATTAACAACAATCGAGCAGCTGCAGTGAAAATATGTAACATATAACTACGATATTACACTGTGAAAAGACGTAACATACAACTACGATGTTACACTGTGAAAAGATGTAACATACAACTACGATGTTACACTGTGAAAAGATGCAATATACAACTACGGTGTTACACTGTGAAAAGGTGTGACATACAACTACGCTGTTACACTCTAAAAAGATGTACTAGATGTTACATTGTGAAAACATGTAACAGATGTTAAATTGTGAAAACATGTAACAGATGTTACACTGTGAAAACATGTAACAGATGTTACACTGTGAAAATATGTAACATACAACTACCATGTTACACTGTGAAAAGATGTAACATACAACTACGATGTTACACTGTGAAAATATGTAACATACAACTACGATGTTACACTGTGAAAATATGTAACATACAACTACAATGTTACACTGTGAAAAGATGTAACATTCAACTACGATGTTACACTGTGAACCGATGTAACATATAACTACAATGTTACACTGTGAAGAGATGTAACATACAACTACGATGTTACACTGTGAAAAGATGTAACATACAACTACGCTGTTACACTCTAAAAAGATGTAAATTTTCACAGTGTAACATCGTACTTGTATGTTACATCTCTTCACAGTGTAACAGCGTAGTTATATGTTACATCTTTTCACAGTGAAACATTGTAGTTGAATGTTACATCTTTTCACAGTGTAACATCGTAGTTGTATGTTACATCTTTTCACAAACATCGTAGTTGTATGTTACATCTTTTCACAGTGTAACATCGTAGTTGTATGTTACATATTTTCACAGTGTAACATCGTAGTTGTATGTTACATATTTTCACAGTGTAACATCGTAGTTGT